TTTTGTAGCTACAACTAACATATATAGTACTTATATTTTCGTGTTAGGCATATGACTAGTATATAAGTTAATAAAGTAGCAACAGGGCAACAGCCAGTCGTCGATTAGAATAAAAAATTAATATATGGTGGTGGGATATTAGCCGAACCGAATGTCAGTCACAAAGCCGGAAAACATAGCGATAGCGGGGATATCGTAGTTGCCACATGTTGGCTGTGAAAGTACGGTTATGCCTAATACAAAATAATAAGTAGGTACTGTATAATTTTCTAAACTAAAATTAATAAAATATTAGTCACGATCTAGAATAGGCAAGGAGCCATAAGAAAATTTTCCATTTTAAACTTTACCACATCAAATAAGTTAGAACAAAAATACAAACCACTGAAGTAATTTACGCATTACGAGAAGAAAACACAAATTATTTAAAAATATTCGGCACCGTTGTAACAATGTGTAGTTATTCTAGAGGCTGAATTTTGACTCGAAATTCAATCAAAAATGGTTTTTCTACGATTACTATCCAAAGTAGGCTTTTGCGCTTCGAAATTCAACCGCAAAGTTGACGTTTTCCTCGAACTGACATTAAGTGATAGCTTTGTCGATCGCCGAGCGGAAAACTTGACAGCTTTGTCGCACTCCTAATTTAAATTAGATATAATATAATATTTCTTTTTAATAAATGATTTTGTTATTTGTACCCAGTTTGATGTTTTTTCTTTTATTAGCCAAGCTAACATTGACTTTGAATATCAACTCCTCTTTTCATGAATAACGTAGATATAGGCAACACATTTTACACTACTTATGACAAATTTTCAATTTTTATATCTATTTCTTAAAATAATGCGACCGTAGAAAAAATCTTGTGTGCATTTTGAGCGAAAAATTCGTTGCCGCTTTCGACAAATTGCCGCGCTCCGCGTCACGCGGCAATCTTTTGTCTCGAGGGGCAAAGTATCACTTTTCGCTCTTAATACACAAATAGCTATTTTCAATCCCAATTTTCTTCTAAATGCTAAATTAATAGGACAAATCAATGTCTTATTGTTGAAAATTAATTGTTTCGACCTAAACGAGATTGAACATTCCGATGCGTTGTTATAGTCCATTGTTAGATATTGATATTAATAAATTTGCAGAAAGTAAAGCTGTAAAAGTCCAGTTTTTGTGATATAGTTTTCTCTTCTCTGTCCTCTTTATTTAAAGACAAATGTCAACTGTAATATATACATTATTTTTTTAAATAATTTGGAATGTTTATAATTTTTAACAGCATTCTTTTGTTTTATCTTGTCTCAATGCACATAAAGGCACACATCAGTATTTCGCAAGACTTGGCGCGTCTCTAATTTGGTGAAATTTAGAAAAAAAACATTACTCCGCCTCTGATTACCCAGTTTGTTCCGCATCAAATTCTTTTAATTAAAAAACCGAAATTCTTGAAGTTCGCCTTTCAGTTACTTAATAAAACTTCAGGAGCCTTGTAATTTGTAAATTCCCACAAACTAGACATTTTATGGAGGCACGAACTTTACTGGAACCACGTAATTAAATTTTATGTCGACTTATTTTATACAGCTAATCATACCATTCAATAAATAAAGTAGTCCCGAAAGAACCAATTGATACGACTCGTAAATAATAGCTTCTACGTGAGCCCATCAAAGCGGAAGATCGTTACACCTGAAATATTTTAAGAAGGGCCAGTGCACGTAATACACCTGGTCCCATTTTGTCCGTTATCTGTTGCTAGTTGCTACCTGCTGATTTCCAAGGAGGTAACGTAATTTCTTTTAGTAGGGTTGTCAGATGAAGTAAAATTTTTAACGAAGAATATAAAAAAATAATTCACAAACTAGGTAATTTCCAAAGAAACAACAAAATGTTCTCAAATAATTGTTACCTCTTGTGATAGTACCAAGCCAAAGACAGGAATCTCACTGAGCTTAGGTAAACATGCGACAGTATTCCAGGCAGAAATAGCAGCAATACATCACTGCGCAAAAGAAGTATTAAGACAGAAGGTAAATGGAGAAACCATTGTCATATACTCAGACAGTCAAGCGACGTTAAAAGCACTCAGTTCCATGCAGGTACACTCAAAGCTTGTGTGGGACTGTTTGGAAGCCCTAACAGAGCTGGGTAGTCAAAACAGACTAACCTTAGCGTGGGTACCAGGCCACAGGGGACACAAAGGCAATGAAGAGGCTGATTTACTAGCCCGAGAAGGAGCATCAAATGCTCTTATTGGCCCAGAACCCTTCTGTGGTGTAACAAAAACAACTATCAGAACATGCACAAAGCAGTGGATGTTTAAAAAATCTCAGGAGTGGTGGGAAAACTCACCAGGACAGAGACAGGCCAAAAAGTTCTTAAAAGGACCATCGTCTAAACTCACCGAGCATCTACTAAGCCTTAATAGGAAAAATACTAGAATACTAGTAGGTCTATTAACAGGGCATTGTAGGCTTAACAAACATATGTTCAATATCGGTCTGACAGAAGAGGCCTTGTGCCGATTCTGTCAAGAAGAAGAGGAAACGGTAGAACACGTATTGTGCTACTGCGAAGGTCTAGTAAGACTGAGATTCCTTACACTTGGAGAAGAAAAACCAAGGGCAACTAGCTATACCGGAGAACTACTTTCCAGTCTATGGAGTTTACTACAAAAGACCGCATTAGACAAGGTACTCTAAACAATGATTAAAGGATATCCACAATAGATCTGAAAAGGTCGAGGTGGGGGAGGCCACATGGCCCATAGTCCTAATTAAATCTTAAATCTTAATCTTACCTCTTGTGGTATTACTCTTGATAAGATTGTTTCTTTTCGGCTTGCTTTCGAAACTCCTATTAACATTAATAACACTATTAAATCTGAAGCTAACAGAGTAGATGAAATCACTCTACAAATATTAAAACTGTGTTGATATTTATGTATTACACATACCTAATCAATTCCTTTATCAAAGATAGCCCATCTGAAGTCCTTCAACGACCTACGACCTATCAGTCTAATATCTTTACTTTCCGATTTAAAAAAAGTAGATTGTCGGCAAATATTAGTTTATGGCAAGAAATAGCTGTTTGTGTATTAAGAGCGAAAATTGATACTTTGCCTAGAACAAGGCGGAATAATAACCAAGACGGGCATTTATTAGAGGAAATAATTCCAATTCAAAGTTAGAGTGTTGAAAATTATTTTCTACCTCTGCTCTTTTCCTCTTGATATAATCCAGTGCCTGTTGCGGTATTAACAAAGGAAGTAGTTGTTTTCAGGATAAAAGATTTTTTCGTAATCAGTTTTATAGTGTTTAACATGCAACTGGTTGCATGAAGTAGATCATTTTAACACTTGTTGCGATTAGAAAAATTGTCACTTTATATGTCAAAATTAGAAAAAGACGTTAGATTATTATTTTTATTATTATTATTAAGCTCTCCTTTTTTTTTTCTTCAAGAACTAAGGAATGAATACCAATATAGGTTATAACGTCTGTTCTAAAGACACATTTTTCAGAGAAAAACTAAATTTGTATTTTTAAATTTACCAAATTGTTTATGTTTTGTTATTTTGATGTTCTTATCTCTTGATTATCTAAAAGATGAATTATAATAAATCGCTTTTGTTGACATTTTGTACCCTTCTCTTGCATGAATTATCATTCTTAACACCATTATTCATATATATTTTTGACATGGAATTAATTAAAATAATTGTTCAATGTTGGCAAAGGGCTTTAAAAATTTTAACTCTAACGAAAAACTTAAGACAATCAAAGTTATTTCTATAAAATAAATATCTATTTTTTGATCTGTTATTATTTCATTAATATTTTATTTAAATAATTGTAGGTCTTAAAATTTATAATTATAAATAAAAATAGAGGTTAGGTATCAATTAATATTTTATTTCTTTACACTGCAATTTCTGCAATAAAAATAATTTAGTTATCCCTAAACTACTTTTTTCCAACCTTCAAATGATGTAATATTTATGAAATCAGTTACGAAATGCCTTATTTTATGTAGTGAGTGAATATTTGTGGGTTGAGCAGAGCGAGGTCTCGCAACATAAAACAGCATTCCCCAACATGTTACATACAATGTTTTCTAATTTTAACTAGATTATTTATAAAATTTTGTTTTGGAAAAAAATTACTGACATCTAGGCAACCAATATTACTACTTTTTTGTATTGTTAGTTGCATATGCATAATTTTATTCACAAATAGAACAGTATTAAGGGGCCGTTCAAATATTACGTAAGCAGATTTATTACAATTATTTACCCCCCCCCCCCATCCCCCTTATCATCAAAAGTAAGCAAAGCTCTTACCGCCTCCCCCCATGCTTACGTAAACATTTTTTCAATTATAAATGTATTTTTTTATGTTATAATTATAATGTTATAATTATAATTTTAAAAATAAGAAAATAAATTTAGGATAGAGATTAGATTTTACTGCTACAGTATTCAACATAGAGTAAGGGACAAAAATATTATAATCTTACGAACATAACAAACTTATTTTAAATTTTTGGTACACATATTAAATTCAAATTAATAGTCTTCAGTCCATGAAACCCGAATCCATGATTCTGAGTTTTCGATGACATTGGATTGCTTGGATTGCTGCTCAGTGTTGTGAGTCTGCTCACTTTCATCCGATTTTAGTATGTCTACGTCGTTCTCATCGAGCCATTCAACATCACGGTGCTCTAAATTTTGAATAATGCACATCAGTTCTTTAGCACGACGAGCAGCGACTCTTACAGGTCTAACTTTCCTAACAGTGTGCGTGTTTACTTTATTATAGATCTTCTCGATGTGACGATTTAGTGACTTGACGGAAGCATGATAAAGACCAAGTTTTGCATGTTCGACTTGATAGCCTCAATTTTACCGTCTGACAAAAATAATCGTAGGGCATTTGCAGGAAATCTTTGAGTGAAGCACTTAAGCGTAGAGCTAAATTGACTGGAAGATCAAGAAATTACCCTCCTTCATCCAAAACCAAGTCATCAACTGTTTGTTTTACTTTTACAGGTGGTGGAAGAAACCTGTTGTCTAGTAATCTGAATAGACCACTTCTTGAACAACAGCATTTTGTATTTTTACATTTTACAATTTGAAGCAAGTATTGGCTTTCACGCACATGTTCCGAATACCATTTAATGTCTGGAAAATCAGGAAGATCTTGTTCACCTGCCCCAACATATTTTGCAGTAACATTATAGCCATCAATTTCCATTGAACTCCATACTTCAGCTAATACATTTCCTGCAAATTCGAAATTAGATCTTTCTAAATGTTCATCAATTGTAACGCCACGTTCATCCAAATGAGACCCAAAATGGTAATGAGGCAATATTAAACCAGCCAGTTCTCGACTAATAGGAGCCATTCTGCGCTCTACTCTGTTGTACGCACTTCTTCCAGGAGCATTGATAGATAAAAACAATGCATCGAGATCATGTCGCTTAAAGTGATGTATAGCAAACCCTATGACTTTCTGATAACGCGGATTTTCATCTGGCCCTCCATCAACCGTCATGATCACCACTGGTTTTACTAGTCCATGATCAGTTTTAGCTAATGGTCGAAACTCTTCAAGTTCGAGAAGCGCCTCGAAATCCTGAGCATGAGTATTAGCAGTAGATGAACTATGCTTTCCACTTCGAATAGCGATGAATGTTGGTCCAGAATATCCGACGGCTTGCGGTTGTCCTAGCATACTGGAAGTGATTTTGATACCAGCATAAACAGATGGTATTAATTTTTGACGCTCAGCCATTACTCAGTCGTGGTCAGGCAATTTGATTCTATATTCCATGTGCATTAGAAGAGGTGCTTGCTTATTTGCCGCAGTTACGCCAATAGGGACTCGAGCTTTATCATCTTGAGATATGAAAAATACTTGATCTGGTTCAAGTATGGATGCTATGTTCTCTAAATAATGGATTGATGTTTCAGCGAACTTGCTATCTAAGTGGCTCTTGTGGTGATCAGTTTAAGCCCGAATGAGCTTAACAGGGACTGTCGATACATGTCTTCTTCCCTCTGCAGAATTAGATTTTCTGGGAATCAAACGAAGATATGTCCCACTGCGACTAATGTCAAATCATATTTTACGTAATTCTTGTGTAAGTTCATCAAGAGTTTTTACGCTGTGAATAGATTCCGTTCGTTTTCTATCATCTGCTGCGCTCCCAAATAAAGCTATATCCGCAATTGTTTTCAATAGTGATGGTTAATTGCTTTCAAGATTAGGACGTCCCACTGAATCCCTTAGAGATAGTCTTTTTTTTTTATTTCTGGATTTTCATGACAAATATCTTCTAACTTTCTTTTCATACCATCCCTGTGTTTCTTCTGGGCAACTGCGTTTTGAATCTTCCTGTTTAAAGACTGTTTTGCTGTTTTTATTTCCTCGCGCAACTTAATGATCTGTTTATCAACTTCAGCACGGCTTGGCATAGTATCTCTGGCAGAATACAAAGCATTCAGATATGGCTTTAAATAATCTTTAAAGCCGGGAGTCGAACCCATTACATACAGAAAACTATTTTGTGACCAATTGACGGAGTCAATCTTAAGAAATAAATATATATAATGAATATTACCTCTATACTTTGAGATAGGCCTTAATATTTTCTAATCATAAAACGTCTAAATTATTGTTACAAAATATAAAGAGAAACTTTTTGGCGATTTCTAATATTTCTAGTACTCATAGGTACCTAAAATGATTTCGTCACTCACCTTGGAAAAAAAATGTAGTAGATTGGATTTATTCTTAGGCGCCGCTAAACTACAATAATATCTAGTTTCTTGTCGGACTTATTGTAATTTATAATTTCGCCACACTTCGTTAACTAACTTTTGTACATTTTGTACTTTCGTACTTATATGAGATTTTAAAAACTTTCAAACAATTTTTGGTATAACTTGGATTTGTCTATTTGAAACGACATCTTATTTAAACATTAAACTTTGGCTAATGGAATCAACGGTAACACAAATGTTAACTTGCTTACAATACGTCTACTCGCTATAGTATCCAAACGAAACAATACACTGACAGAGGAAATTTAGACAAGTGAATAGCGCGCGGTAATTCCCCTACTCGGTTCTAAAGCGAGTGCCTAAACGTATGCATTATTTGCGGGAATCCCCGAAAATGCGTTTCGTTTTCAAGTATAGACAATGTGAGGGTTGCCAAGTTGCCATTCGTGTAAAAAAGTAAATAACTACCGATGACGTAATCATCATCTAGACTCCCCTACCTCCCATGTCATCCAAAAGAAGCAAAACAAAGACGCCGCCCCTCCATAGTGCTTGCGTAATACTTGAACGGCCCCTAAGTGTTTATTCTCAACAACTTGTATTGTGTTTATATGGCTCATTAAAGTTACTTAGTTTTCGAAATAGTGGGTTATTTTGTCGTGTATTGTGTTTGAATTGTTTTGTGCTGATTTAGAATGTAAAATAAGGACCAACACAACATTATTACTAGGTTGTAAGGTTAAATTCTTTTTTTATTAGTCGACTTGCTATTCTTTGATGTAAACTTTTAATAATACTGTATATTATTGATTTTAAAACAAAAAAGTTTAATTTTTATTTTTTTTTCGCAATTGGTGACATAATGAGTATTTCCAAACCAGTCACATAATGTTCAATATTATGCAACTGATTGCATAAAGTAGATCATTTCAATACTTGCTGCTATTACAAAAAAAAAATGTCACTTTATATATCAAAATTAGAAAAATATATTAACTCAAGATTTAGGTCAAAATCAATCATACGAGTATAATGGTTTTTGTTACCTTACGTCACACTAATGAAATGTATATTTATAAAATTCGCAATGCGCCTTCTGTCTATATCTTCAATTCTTATTGTCCATCAATATTGGTCATTTTATATCCTAATTTTCCGTTACAGAGTTTAGTTGATGTATTTAATTTTTTTCGGATTATTACAAAATTTATTATTGAAGTAATTATTTATTTAAACTATCTAAATTTGTATTAACCAAATCTTATTTTGCGTCTCCTGTAAAATATGCTAATTTATTCCGAGATTTAACTCAATTTCCATTATTTTCTTCCATTGTTTTTTTATTATGGGACACCCTATATATGAGACTATCTAAACTGAGAACTTTTATCCCTTTCTTCGTGCCGCCCTTGTTGAATAACAAAAAAGTTCAAGGTCCTTCATTAACATTTCAAGACCCGAGGGAGAACCTGCCCTCCTTGATTGAAGAGAATATTGACTAAAAAAAAGCCATTAGACGGGCTTGAGGTTTAGACAAATTCCCTGTTTAATGTCAAATCTACCCAGAAATGTTAAGAGTCCCTAACCAATTTTTTTCTCAATAAAACATTTTCCATTTAATAATTTAATAATTTTTTTATTTTTAAATACCTATTTTTAATTAATTATTAATACATTCTGCGTTTGATATTTATAATTTACAGATTTTATTGTCTATGTACACCTAAAATAGATTTACAAATCCCGTTCAGTTTCTTTCGAGGACGTCTAGTGGTTATGGGAAGTCAAACATAGTTTCCCTTGCTGATATTGTAATAGCAGTTTGTGCAACAAGAGTGGATATCATGGCCAATCCACTCGAGTTGTACAGTATATTTTTTTACGACCCACTAACTAAAATCAACAAATTTAAAAATTATTTTAGGTCATTCAGAAAAATAATTAATTTTAAAATAATTTATGAATTTTACTAATTTATAAATTAAAATAAACATAAAAAAATTAATTTAATTAGTCCCCAGTTCAGATTCGATCCCGAGCTTTTTGCATCGAAAGTAGAAGCTCTGTCTTCAGCTCCACCGCCACTTTTATGATTTTAGTTTTAATATAGTTTGATTAATTTTTACTACCTAGAATGGATACAACATTTATTTATTCAGTCGAACGCAATAGCATATCTTTTCGTTTTGTAGTCTGTGCGTAGATAGAAGCTAATATCGATGTAGGTGTAGAAAAACAAATTTTTTCTTCGCTTACCAAACAATGTAACGTTGAGACAAATTCCAAATTTTACCCAATAAAAAGATAGGTATCTGTTGTGCTATAAGAGAAAGACTAGTAAAAAGAAGAAGACGCAAATCCAATAATTGCAAATTGTAACAATAAAGCATCAGTACTAGCCATCAGCAACTTAAGCGAATTAAAATCTTAAATTGGACTAGAAGATATTTTTCAAGTAGATAGGGAGATAAATAAAATCAATATTGAATATATTCATATACCATTTTTTTGTGTCACAAGTTTTATACAGTTTGTCACTATATTCGACCGACAACGTTTTACCCTAGAGCTATCAGTAATTGACAAATTTTGATATAGAAACCTGAAATCTTAAAGGGCTTAGTTATCGAGATACAGGGTGTTCAAAGTTTGAAATTAAAATTCAAAATTTGCCATACTTCAAAAACTAGTTTAAATATTTTTTCAAATTTGATGACCAATGTGCTTTTTAAAAAACTAATAATTTAACATATATGGTAATATTGGGTGACGGGGACCTACTTAACTTTTAAAATTTGAAGCTTGACCAAAAATTCAGTATGTAAGATAACTTTGAAAATTTTGAATGTTAATTAACATATTTATATGGCTGTTATTTGTGATGATTAAACTTGTTCCAACTTCAATACTTTTCGAAGTATATTTTTTTTAAACTCTACCGGAGGTCCCAGTTACCCCGAAACTTCGGGCACGTGGGACACCTAGCTTAAGTTCATTTTTATAAAATAAGAAACCTTATTAAAGGCAACTGGGTTATACTTTATGATCCTTCAGATTTTGCATCCAAATTTGATTTACGTAGTAAGAGTAAGATCGTTTTGTAGATTATGATGGCTGTTACGATTAAAGTTTTGTTAAAGTTGTCTGTAAGTAAACACAAAAATTAAGAGAAAAAACATCATTTATTACTTAACTAACTTAATTCATAACTTTATGCCCATATTTATTCATCAATGTTACATCAAATATACCCCTGTGGTTCATCATTTTTGGTGGTGGTATATTTTTTACTACTTCTGCGTCATCATACCACTTCAAATCTTCTACTTTGGGCCATCTCCAAGAATTACCAAGTTTTCCATGTAGGAAACTTTTACTCGATTTTCGTCTCTTTCTTTAATACGTCATGGACAATACAGTCCATTGTACACCACACTTACATAATTATCTTCTATTGCTACAGGCTCACCTGCTTTAAATTAAGATTCTGATGAATTAAAATCATCAAATCCACTTGCATCACTACCAGATAAATTTTGCCATTTTTTCTTAATTTTTTCTTCTTAGGAATTTTTTAAAATGTAAATCATTCGTAGTGCTTGAAATGTTGCCATTATCATAATTTTCATCAGCTGTAATGTGCTCTTACCGGACTTTGTTTTGCGTTTCTTGTTTTTTCTCTTCTTTTTCTGTTTTAATGCGGTTTCTTCTTCGACTTTCTGTAGGTAGTCGTTGTACCATTTGCAGTACTTGTGACTTCAGTGTTTTCATCTTCAATTTTTTCATTTTCGGTATTTCCCCATCGTCTTCACCATGAATCTCTTCTGTATTTTCCACCTGATGTTCAGCACTTGCAGCCTCCTGTCTTTGATCCCTGTTCTCATTTCCTGACTCGAGTTCAAAAAAAAAAATATATATATCTTAGAGCTAAAATGAATGGTGTTGTAGAAATTTGCTAAAACACAAGTCTGCATGTACTTAGATAATTTGTAACGACTCAATATTTCTAAATTCTAATTTAGCAGGCACATAACAAAATTTTAATAGTTCTTGTTTTTGAGATCTTGGTAAAAAAAATAAAAAAAAACATTTAAAGACGTTTTTGATTTATGAAAAATTTTGAATTTTGATTTAAAACTTTTTGCCACAAGATTGTACTTATCAAATTTCAGCGTTTAACAAACCTGTTCGAATTTGGTCATATACCTACCTAATTTGTATTTTATATAGATAAAATTAAATCATTTATCAATTAAAACATGCAAGACTTATTTAGAAATAAATACAACAAGTATGTTCTGTGCTTTATTTGGCTATAAACAAGTTTATTTTTATTATTTTTACAAACTTATGTATAATTCCCATAAGAAGCTATGTATTTTGAACACCGTATGCAGTACTAGCGCCCATGCGGTTAATTATAAAAGCTCAATTAGCCTGCCTTTTTTTGGGACCGTATTTTGAGTATGCCGATTCGCTTCCTTATCTCTAGTCTTCATAGCCGTCAATAATAATAATAATAATAATAATAATATAATAATCTTTATTTGTCTTAAAAAATACAAAATTATATATCTCATTAATAAAAATTTCAAATGCATACATACTAAAAATTACAAAATAATTTAATATAAAAAAAAAATAAAGTAAATAAAACAAGTGAAATATAAAATCAATTCCAGATTATTCAAGGTTCAAAGATAAAGTCTCCGTCTTCCACATACAAGTCTGGAATTCTTCTAAATTATTTAAGCACTTTTGGGATGAAAATATTTTTATATATATTATATGTTTTAATTAACATTTTATTTCTATTGTTTTCAAGAGTGCATTAATTAAAACATAATTTTGTTACAGCAACTTAAAAAACTTTTTTAAGACCTACAAACAATATTAAAAAAAAACTGAAAACGTATATGTTAAATTCAATGACAGAGAGGTTTGTTTTTGTTTGTCAAAAGTTAACTTTCACTGAAACACAAATTACGTCACATAAATATATCGTATTAGGCATTCCAACGACCTGCCCAAATGGCTACCAGTGGGTAATGACAGTTTAGATATGGCAACCCTGTTGTCATGTTGTCATTAACAGGGTCAATGATACATATATAGTTATATAGATTGCTCAAAGCTGGTCGTTTACGAGCGGCCATATTGCCTGGCAAATATTTATTAATTTGAATCGGTTTAGCAAAAATGTGTTTTAAAACCAATTTTTAGCCTTTAGATATTTTTAAAAAAATAATTGCTTACATTTTTACTTCAAGGCATACCCTTATGTTTATTTTGAAAAATATGGATAATCAATCTATGTAACTATCTATTTCATTGACCTTGTCAAATCACCAGGTCTACAGGGTTGCCATAATTTTGCAATATCATAACCCGTTAAAGCCCACTGGTAGGCATTCAGTTTGGAATGCCTAATTATATAGAGTGAAATGTGTCAATTTTCCCCGGCTCACTCTGAAATAAATAAAAACTGAATTGCAATCTTTGTGGATACCCCTCATACCCCTTATGATAAAAATGTGAGAGATCACTATCATTAAATATATGCAGCTTAAAAAAAGTGAACATGAGTCATTGTGATTTGTATAAGTACCTACTTTTTACTTAATTTGGCAAAATTATTCTGTAAAATCAATATTATTGTAAATATCTAAAAATATACCTACACATAGTAAGTGGCACTATGCTAAGATATTTTTTCATATAAAATGTTTATAAAAGTAAACCTCGTATTAATCATTAAGGCGTCTACATTTAAATCATTATCGTTTGTTTGAAAGGCCATAAATTGAAAATTCGCAGTCATCAGTGACATCGATATTCGATACGTCACATCTCACATCTTTAATTTATTATTTATCCACATCCTGTTCGATATATACCTCTAAAACACGAACAGAACAAACGAACAAACTCTTTCTGGGTCGACATAATGTGATGACTTCTTGTCTTTAACTTCCTACAATCATGTAAAGTAACGTTATTTACTTTTTCCACGAAATATGGAACAGGCACACTGACACACTGTTTGTGTTTACTATTGATTTTAGAAACCAGACGTTAAAAGCATCAGAGCAATGTAGTTTTAGTTCGTTTTTTTGTGGTAGCATTCCATTATAATGAGATGTTTGTGTTTATAAAACATCACTCAACATGTAGGCATTTTTTTTATTGATTACTGCATACGATTAAAATCATAAAAACGATAAAGACATTAAAAAAAATTACTTTTTCTAGAGCTACATAGTAATTGAGCGTATTTTATTGAAAAAATATTATATATTTATTTACCTTATGCCATAAAACAGTTATATATTAGAATTACTTACTATGGATTATATTACTAATCCATAAATAAATATCCGATATGGAGTGGTAGAGAAGATAAATTATTCATTTTGAATATGAATAATTTATAGTTTAGTTATGGTACTTTATACCATATTAGAGAATTATATTTGAGAAAAAGTTTTTGTTAAAACCATTTTTTAAAAATGATGTTTGATATAAGACAAATTATATTTTGTCAGTTGTTGCCCAACATAATTTTAGGTTCCCGGAAAATAGTCTAAATACAAATGATCTAAAATACATTTGGTCTAAATACATTTAATTTAAAACATATATTTAATTTAAAATAAATTTAATCTAATTACAATGGCCCTAAAATACATTTGTTCTAAAACAAAATTAATTCAAAACTGTGTATACGGTTTTATACAGATTATTGCAAACTAATCAATATCTAAGCATGAAAAAATCATCAAGTTAATTCGAAAAATACCTGGTATTGAACTTATATAAAAGGACATACTATCAAATTTAAAAGATACCAAAAGAGATGCAAATAATAAAAGAACAGACTCAGGTGGCAACATCTGCAAAAAATATACTAAACAACGTATGTATTAGAAGGATAGTGCTAAGCTGCGATTTTAATTAATTAGATTAGACCAATGATTCTCAAACGGTGGTACGCGTACCCCTTGGGGTTACGCGAAAATCTGCAAGTATCAAAAATTATACAAAATTATTGATACATGCTAGAATTTAATTTTGAAAAACAAGCACAGCGTTCCCACTAATTATTTTTTGAGACTTTCAATTTTGTCTGATTAATATAAAGTGTGTAATAAAATGTCCATTAAAATAAAATGTCTTGTTTTTAATTTAAAATAATTATTAGTAATTAAACTTAAACTAATATAACACATTTTAATAAAACTAAAGTATTTTTGATGGGGGTATACATAGATAATGATACACAAAAATGGGTACGTGGGTTGAAAAAAGTTGAGAACCTCTGTATTAGACAATGTTGTTATTAGCAATCAGAGATTCACAGGATTGGCTTGTTTTTTAAAAGCTTGGCTTGAAATCAAGCCGTCTTTAAAAATACCAAGCCAAGCCTAACATTTTTTTAAGCCAAGCCAAGTTTTTATAAAAAAAAGTTTGAACTACCAAGCTTTTTCAAGCTTTCAAGCTTTTGAAGGAATTATTTACCTTAACTGTTTACAATAATCTACAAAATTTATTTAATGTAACTACTAGATAATCAATATAATATTCTATAAGGAAATTCTTAGGATGTGCATTGAATAGAAAGAGACTCTTCTAAAAAGAAGAGATAATTTAGGTATAAAATCTTATCATTATCGATCTTCATTTATTTCTTACATATATTTCTGTATCAGCTTCTAACAAAGCTAGCACTATTTGGATTTGGATTAAATTTTTTCTCCTGCGGAAAGGCTTTTTCATAAGAATCCTTATGTTTACTTTGTAAATGTCTTTTTAAAGACTTAGTTGCCTGCTCCATTTTTCATTTTAATTATTGGGAAAATAATAGTAGACATTTGGGAACAAAATTAAATTTTTTTGAATTTATTGGTACACGTCACGGGACATAGGGGACATAACATTTTCAACTTTAATAATTTATTATTTCTTCAGCCTCCAATGATATCTGAACGGAAAATTTTTACTAAAGTACTGTGACGATAGTTTTATTTATTTATAGTTCATTTATTTAAAACACGCCATTTACAATTTATTTATGACGTACTAATTAATTTATATAATACTTAGACACCAACTCACAATTCTAATTTATTTATTACAATTTATGTGTTTAGTTCAATACTCTATTCTAAACTAAACTGAACTAAACTGTGCGCCGATGAGCCGGGCTATTTATACAAAGTCTAACTCTGCTACGAGAAGTCTCTAGACGCTCCCGAAAATTCCATCTCTGACTCAACGGCACTGTCCGCCCGTTCTAGCCGTTTCTAAAGTGTCAGCGGCATTCTTAGGAGATTCCGTTGTTTCGAGCATGAGTCGGGTGCCAAGCTGCTTTAGACAGGGTCGGCTTAGGAATTTCATGACATTTCCCCCTCCTTAACAAATAGTTCCTCCTGGAACTAAAAATGAATGGTTGTATTTGCAACTGAATCCTCTTTTACAATTTTCAGTTGCATGGAAGTAATTTGAACCCTTGAAGAATGGCTGCAGACCAGTATTTCAACCTGGGTATCTTGGAAGATTACTTCCACCATGTTTCTAATGATCCTCCAATTCAGCACGTTGCTCTCTATCTTTGGCATAGCTAGTTTCTGTACATTGGACTCCAGTACATGCTCCCTTAGACTGAATAATAACGCAATCCATTTTGAAGTTTTAATGCTTTTCCAGGGGCTGGTAACTGATCTTGAAGTTCTGGCAATCGACCATACTTCTTCCGGAATACAGATGCCAGACCTCGAGCGTCGTAGATGTTGGCAGAAGTGCTATGGACCAGCGAGTAATCTTTAGGAACCGTAAGCAGGTCTTGCTTTCGGTACCTCCAT